TCCACGTTAATCAGGTGTGTGCTGAGCCCACGCCTCTTCTCATGGATGGAGACCCAGGTGCTTCAGCGTTTGATTAGAACTATAATTGCCCTGACCCAGGTATGTAGGGATGTTTCTAAAGAGCGGGCTTCCATTCAACAGAGCGAGCAAGACAGGACCATAGTGAGTGTGAGTAGACACCACGCAATGGCGCTGATTATGAACAGAGCATAAAGGCATGGGAAATGTGACTTTCCCTCTCTCCTACAGAGATGAAATGCTCTTCTGCCCTTGCATATGAGAAGGACAGGCCTGCTGTTCCCTGGACTTCATGACTTAAGCCAACAACTCCGTCAGTTCTTGTACCCTTGGCCTCAGACAGAGGCTTTCCCATTAGCTTCCCTGGTTCTGACGCCATCAGACGCTGGTGCTGGCTGCACTACAGCATCTCAGGCGTACTGATGCCCTGAGAACTTTTCTGCTGTCACGATTATGTCGTTCGATTTCCCTAATAAACGTCTTCTACTATATGTGTTCATAGTCTGTTGCTTATGTCTCTCTGAAGAATCCTCGACAATATATAAGGTATGCAACACATTGCTTTGGAAATGTGTGCAGTGGTTTGTCACTGAAAAAAATCCTGATAGGATCTGTAAAAGGGGATTTTCTGTACTTGAGAACCCCAAGGCGGGGAACTAAAGATTTATATCCCCAGAAGTGATTTGTAGCAATTATGTGGAAATGCTTCACTTCTATCTGCATCAATCACATATTTCAAGAAATGTGGGTGGGTCCTTCTAGTGGTAGATCTTTCTCTCCTGTGTGTGTGTGGGGGGGAGGGGATCAGATGCTTATAAAAGAGGATCAAGGAGGGACAGCACTGTGGTTCCTCTGGAGATACCAAAAGGAAGATCACTAAGAACTGGAAGGTAAAAGAGGAGGTGTGCTTCCTGCTCTCTTGATAATAGCAACTTAGCCCAAGGAATCAAGGACAGAAAACAAACCACAAAGCGGGCACGGCTAATCCAGGAATAGGACAATACTTCCTTTTCAAAGACTGTGAGTTGGACTGCCCTTCTTCTGGCTTCTGATGTCCCCTGTGACATCAAAAGATTGTGGTTAGCAGAAGCAATTATCCCTTCTGCCTCTTTCTATCTTCAGTTTCTAAATTTCTGTTTCATTGGTTTCAACCACTCTTTTCTACCAGTAGAAATACAGCCCCAAAGTACCAGAATTTCTTCCTGCCTTCCCTCCCTTACTTCTTTCCTTCCTTCCTTTCTTCTTTCCTTCTTTCCTTCCTTCCTTTCTTTCAATTTTTCAAGAGATCAGGTCTTAATCGTAGAGGCAACACAATGTGGAATGTATAATATATAATGTATAAAACTGCCATTGAGGCAATTTACAATAGGTTGCCTAAGGTAAGATATTTGTCAGCATTCTTATACTTTGAAGAAATGTATATCTCATATTATTTCATAGGCTTAAAATTGCTCCCTCAGGCAGATTTGGAAATAATGACTATAAATGGCAAAGTGGATGTGGACTGCAGTTCATAGAATCAAGAATGGAAATTAAAAACATTGACTTTATGATGTTTATGGACCCATTTTGGTCAGATGTAAAGAAAAGAATATTTACATGTAACCAAAGGATAGTGTACAAATACCTTCTAACTGAGTTTTTGTTTCTTTTTCATAAGGGCTGATCAGGACTAATTAGAATATCAAGCAACTTGCCCATAGCCATTTAGCTATGAACCACTAAACAAGCTGAAGGGAAGGGGTAGTTTTCTAATCCTTAGCCCTGTCTTAAATGTTCATAGCGCTGTGGAGAAATGACTTGTCTGAGCATGTATTTAGATTTTTTTCATTTCAAATAGACTGTCATAGATTGAGACACACATAAAAAAATGCAAAATTTGTATTCAGAAAATGCTCATTTTCTAATATGCTAATTTTAATATAAACTTGTAACACTCATGTGTTGTTCAGAGTCACATTTTCACTATACTGGCTTTGTCCTCTCGGTGTGCACAAAATTCCTGGGAAGATTCAACTTTTATTTCTCATGACACACTGCTGCCGAGGAATCATAATCCCTTAGGCACATGACATTAAAATATGGGGAAAGCCGGGACCTAGAGAAAACGAAATAACACTGCAAAAAACCGGGTAGGGCGCCGCTAATAATTGGACAATAATTTCATAGACACACTCTCTCCTCCCAACTATTACATTTTCATTGTATTTCTCATACAGTGGAAATTTCCAAGTACTCGTTAAAATGCTGGTTCCCATGCACTGAGCATGGACTACCTCCCCGGCGCTATCCCACAGAGTCAATTCTGTCACATGATCTGGATATTAATTACCAGTTCTATTTTCAGAGAAAGCAAGCGAACTTTTGCAACCAGAATATAACTTTTGAAAAGTAAGATAACCTTTGTTTCTTTGCAATAGTTGCAAACAAGAAGATTCGAAACTGCCACAGAAGAGTACATGATTGAAAATCCCAGAGCCTTTAAAATTCACAAATATTTCCTGAAAGCCTCCATGTAAATAAAAATATATTTACAATATTTTCACTGAAAATTAGGTGGTATGCTATGTAGTATATCAGTTTTGTGGTTATCTATGTATAGATATACACGTAAGCATATTCACAAAATAGCAGTCTAACCCCATACTGGAATAACTTCTCAGTGGGATCTGTAATTTTGACATTTTCTTTTACGTATTTCTTTTATGTATTTCATGATTTTTGCAAAATTAGCAAGCAGCAAATATTTGTAGACAAAGTTTCTGTGTCCATGTAATTGTTCATAGCTATAATAAGGCTCTATTAACAGGTGACATTCTGGATAGTACATGGATATGAAAGTTTAAATAGTATGAGTTTATCTGTTATGACATTAAGTAAATTATAAACATTATCTTGAAATAAATATAGAATCTGCATTTTGAAAAATAAAATAATAAATTGTATGCAATTGTTTTTATGTGGAGGTTCTTAAACTATAGACACATGTCTCACTTACTGATTCTTAACAAGTGAGAAAAAACATTGGAAGAAAATGGTCATTAAAACAGTGTAGGCTTGTTGCCTAAAGTCCAAGGCTTCCCATTTAAGCAGTGTTAGAGAATATGGCTTACCTGACAACCTGAATAGAATTCTCGTTTCTTTTTCCTTAAGTCTAGACTGGAAGCTGCCTGGTTGAATGGATTTCTCAGAGATCGCATCATGATGCGAGCATAGGTGGCCAGAGTCCACTTTATACCATTCCAGAACAGAAGAAAGAGCTTCAGCGAAGGGGCACAGTCCAGGCTTGCTTTAGCTCCCATCACAGACACTAGAGTCCACATGTCTCCTTCCTGAGGGGACATTTCCCCTTCCACATGAATCACAGTCAGAGTGAGGAGGGCAGAAAAACAAGAAGCAAAGCCCCTCAGGTGTATCACCCCACCCCCATCAAACCCAGATCAAGATAAGAAGGACCCAGTCTTAAAAGGACTGAGCACATTTCTGTGCTACCGAGTCCCACAGCCTTGGTCCTATGAGGCAGAATCACGGAGAATGTGCTGTTGCCATCCTCATGCTTCACTATCTAACTGCAGAGGAATGCAGTGCGAAAGAATCCAAGGTAGCTAAGAACGAATTCCTAAATGTCAGAGTGACGAGTGAGGGCAGATGAGAGAAGCACAAAGATACTTAATTCTTTCACAGCGGTCAAGTTATGGAGTCAGCCCTCTGGCTGGTCAATAGATGGATGATAAATGAAGGTGCTGTACACCACTCTTGAGTCACAGGGAACAAAAATTAAGATCATGGTCTTAAGCTAAGAAGGCAGACTCAGACGAGAAGGGCATGCTTCCTCTCTCACGTGTGGAATCTAGAATATAAAAAGACAGAGGGGCAACAGTTAGGAAAGCGGGACAGAATCCAGGAGAAAGCAGAGAAATAAAGGAGGATCACGGTGGGGGAAAGGATATGAACAAAGTGTGCTTTGTGCGTGTATAAAATCTCTCTCAGAACTAAGTCTTGATGTTATACCTGGATTCACGGGGAAAGAGAAGACAGTCTGACAAGATGAGTAAGAGGCAAGGAAATGCCAAACTAGGGAGGTTACCGTGTGCTGGGCAGTGCCGAGACAGCGTGCAAGAGGAAGAGGAGGGAGGAGAGAGGCATGGTGGCGTAGAGGCTGGCGTCTCCGAACATGAGACAGACACGTAGATTCTGCTTTAATTTTTTGGCTTCTCATTATTGCACACGTCATAGCGCCATGCAGAGGTCAGAGCACAACTCTGCAGAGCCAGTTTCCCCATTCCACTTTCACATGGGTTCCAAGGACAGAATTCAGGTCACTAGGCTTGTCTGGCAAGGTCCTTTATTCTTGGAGCCCATCTCACCAGCCCAGAGCTCTGATTAATTAGGAAAGAAATAGGCTTTTTCTACCATCACTCCTCATATCATCAAAACTAAGAGCACCACCCTCAAAACATTCCATTTCAACTTACCAAACGTTGGGTCAAGGGACAGTTCATCTGAATCAGTAGGATATACTGTTTCCTGTTGGTTTGAGATTAACTGCAGTACCCCATGCCCTGAGTAAGCAAGCCATACCATGGTCACTTTTATTATATACGTGAAATATTTTAAAACCAAAATTAATGCAGTATAAAAAGCCTTGGATATGTCTATTCCTTGAAGGAATTTTAGCGATCTGTAACTACATGCAATTCTGTTTCATTTAATGTAGAAAACTTTTATGATCAGAATAAATAAAATGACCAAATGATCTGGTGTTGGACGAATCTGTGTGTGTGTGTGTGTGTGTGTGTGTGTGTGTGTGTGTGTGTGTGTTCCAAATAAAGAAAAAAAGAAGCCATGGTAGGGGAAAAAAAATCAAACCTCTATCCAAACAAATAGTAGTGTTGCTAAAACTACTGGGAGAACTGGCCTGGCAATGAACTTGATCTTGTTTCTCAAGGAAAACTGAAAGAACTCTTTTTTATTCAGTGACCATGGAGGTAAAACAGATTGCCATCATTGGTGCCGGGGTCAGCGGACTGGGAGCCATTAAGAGCTGCTTGGAGGAAGGACTTGAGCCTACTTGTTTTGAAAAGAGCAATGACATTGGAGGGCTGTGGAGATATGAGGTAATTTTATAAATTATATCCTCATATATAAAGTATGATGATGTCTGTACATGAGAAAGAGGTGCTTTCTGGCTAGAATTAGAACACAGTAAATTGTAAACTTTTGAAATTTATTTATTTTTTATTAATTACAATTTATTCATTTTGTGTTCCAGCTGTAGCCCCCTCCCTCCCTTTTCTCCTCCACTGATAGGGGAGGTCCTCCTCCTCTTCCATCTGACCCTAGCCTATCAGGTCTAATCAGGGCTGGCTGCATTGTCTTCCTCTGTGGCCTGGTAAGATGCTTCCCCCTCAGGGGGGGCGGTAATCAAGGAGCAGGCCACTGACTTCATGTCAGAGACAGTGTTATCTCAAGATCCAGCTGTACCACTCCAAGGCATATATCCAAAATATGCTCAAGTATACTAGGAAACCCACTTGGACACTGAGCTGCCATGGGCTACATCTGAGCAGGGGTTCTAGTTTATCACCATGCATGGTCCTTGGTTGGAGTATCAGTCTCAGAAAAGACCCCTGTGCCCAGATTTATTTGTTCTGTTGCTCTGCTTGTGGAGCTCCTGTCCCCTCCAGGTCTTTCATCTCCCCCTTCTTTCATAAGATTCCCTGCACTCTGCCCAAAGTTTGTCTATGAGTCTCAGAACCTGCTTTGATACCCTGCTGGGTAGAGTCCTTCAGAGGCCCTCTGTGGTAGGCTCCTGTCCTGTTCCCTGTTTCCCCCATCTTCTAATCCCAGTTGCCTTTCTGAATGAGGATTGGTCGTGTTAGCCAGGGTCCTCCTTCTTGCTTAGCTTCTTTAGGTGTACAGATTTTAGTATGTTTATCCTATATTATATTTCTAATATCCACTTATAAGTGAGTATATACGACATGTGTCTTTCTACTTCTGGAATACCTCACTCAGGATGTAAACTTGTACAACCACTTTGGAAATCAATCTGGTGCTTTCTCAGAAAATTAGGAATAGTGCCATCTCAAGATCTAGCTATACCACTCCTATGCATATATCCAAAATATGCTCAAGTATACAACAAGGACATTTGCTCAACCATGTCTGTAGCAGCTTTATTCGTGATAGCCAGAATCTGGAAACAACCCAGATGTCCCTCAGTGGAGGAATGGATACAAGAATTGTGGTACATTTACACAATGGAATACTACTCAGCAATTAAAAACAAGGAAATCATGAAATTTTCAGGCAAATGGTGGGAACTAGAAAAGATCATCCTGCGTGAGGTATAAATTGTAAATAACTATTTTTTTCAAAGTAGCATGATCTTCTACCCAGATCAACTTGAAACTTCTCAAGTACATGAAGGATCTTGCTCCGTTTTCTGTTAGCTTTCTCATCACTGGGACAACACACATGAGGAAAGCACTTTAAGAGGGCACAGCTTTATCTTGGCTCACGGTTTCTTACGTTTCAGTTCATTTGGAGCTGGGATGGCATGACTGAACTGCGCAGCTCACATCAAAGCAGCCAGAAAGCAGAGAATGCCTGCACTGATGAGCTTTCTCCTCTTCCCCCTCTTCTTCCAACTAGTCCATTAAATAGCCCCACTCACAGGAAGACCTACCAGTGGTGGGGATTCCCCCTGGCAAACCTCTCTAGATATGCCCATCACTGATAAAACCAATCCAATCAAGATGACAGGTTCATTTCACCCTTTTCAAGTTTCTCATCCCAAATCTCTGTCTGTTAGTTTTTAATTTTCTTTTTTGTGTTTTGTTTTGAGTATTTATTATCTTATATTTTTTGAATGACTGAATTACTAGTTTCACTGTAAGTCTGTCACCATAAAAATTCTGAAAGCCTCCTTCTGAAAGAGACTAATGCGTTCATACAGTCGGGCAGCAAATTTTCAATAAAATATAAACCCAACCTCACAGCTCTCATCAGCCCTAAGCTCAGTATGCACTTGTTTCCTAAATTTTTAGAAGCCAAGGGTTGGTTTGTTTCCTTCAGGAGACATCAGAAAGTGGAAGGCCCGGGATATACAAATCTTTGACCTGTAATACATCCAAGGAGATGACAGCCTTCAGCGACTACCCCTGTCCTGACCATTACCCCAACTACCTGCACAACTCCAAAATGATGGAGTATCTCAGGATGTACGCCAGGCACTTCGGGCTCATGAAACACATCCAGTTCCGGGTAAGCAGTGAAACCCCACCCACTGTCTGCACATTGGTCAGAGCCAGCTGAGCAAAGTTTCTGTATTTCCAACCCTTGAGGAGTAATACTTTTATTGATTCTGTATTAAAATCCCAACTAACCAGGAGCTCTGAGTGGAAGTAACAATCTGTTCTATTTATTGAAATTCAGAATTTCCAGGTTTTTTTAAAAAATGAAGATGTGAAACAGTGCTTCATTATTAGCCATTTCCTTTCATTTCTTGTTTCCTAGACGGAGGTGTGCAGCGTCAGGAAGCACCCTGATTTTTCATCCTCTGGCCAGTGGGAGGTTGTAGTGGAGGTTGACGGGAAGCAGAAAACCTATATCTTTGATGGGGTCATGGTCTGCAGCGGCCACTACACTGAGAAGTATCTGCCCTTGCAGGATTTTGCAGGTATTTAACTGAATGGGCTACAAGGAAAACCCTGATACTGCAAAAGTTGCATCACCTGTACTCTCACAGACACTGACAGATGTGTCAGTTTGGCACAGAGTGGTTACAGAGGAAGGCCACTTTCTTAACAGTCAGGAACAATCTGACAATAGAAGCAACAGTAAAACTGGAAACTAGAGCTCCTCCAGCAAACAAAGCCTGGAGAAACAAAGCTTTTCTGGAACAGACACCCATGTGAAGAGCAGTGAGTGTGAGAGTGTGGGTTTAGAGAGCTACACCCACTTGATACCGCTGGCAGAGAGGAGTGTGCAGAAAACCACGGAGGAGGGAGAGAGAAAGTGGGGTGTGTGTGTGTGTGTGTGTGTGTGTGTGTGTGTGTGTCTGTCTAAAAGATACCTAATCATATTTTTTTATTTTATGGCATTACTGTGTCAGTGCTATGGAGGATGAGTGGATGGGAGAATCAGGGCAAGACTATCAGTAGGGAGAGGAGTGTGATGATGGTGAGGACTGAAACATGAAGACAAAACTGGAGACATTTCAGAGACTACAGCACCCCTGAATTACAGAGAATACCGCCCCAACTAGACTCTATATTACTTAATATTCTTGAGATGTATAGTTTTGTTTTAAATGTCTATTTTCAATTTTTAAAAACTGAAAGACAGAAAGGCTATAAAAGTGGGTAAGGAACAGGGAGGGTATGGGAGAAACTGGAGGAGGGCAAGACATAATCAAAAGATGTTTTATTTAAAAAGTAATAAATAAAATATTCTAATATTCAAAATGTACACCCCAAATAGAATAGCTAGTGTATTATTGTTGATTACTAGAAACACAACTTACACAGGGTCTGGAGAGAGAACCCAGTGGTTAAGAGAGTTGGCTGCTCTTCCAGAGGATCTGACTCAATTCTTACCACACATATGGCAACTCACAACTGTCTGTAATTCCAGTTCCAGCCAACATGACACTCTTTTCTGCCCTCTGCAGCAAGGCACACGTGTGGTACACAGACATACATGCAAGATACCCAGACACATCAAATAAAAATAAGTAAATCTGTTTCTAATTTTCTTTTTATTGAAAATAGATATTTTTCTCATGTAATTGATTATGGTTTCCCCTCCCTCTACTCCTTCTTGTTCCTCCCCAGTTCCCCTCCTGTCCAGATCCATCCCCTTTCTGTCCCTAATTAGAAAACAGTCTTCTAAGGGATAATAAAAAAAATAAAATATAATAAAATAAAATATAACAAGATAAAACAAAAACCAACGCATCAGACTTGAACAAAACAAACAAAGAGAAGGAAAAGCACCCAAGCGAAGGCACACAACACAGATCCCCTCACTAGCACACTCAGGAAGCCCATAAAAACATTAAACTGGAAGCCATAATACATATACAATATATACATCTACTCTATAGGCCATTTCTTAAATGTTTAAAGAAATACATCTGACACTAACTGAGATATACAATCCATGTAAAATAAATAGCTGACTTCAGAGACACAGTAAAATGTGTGAAATATCCCATCAGTGCCTCTGTGTGTCAGCTATCTATTAACATATTAGATTATGCGTGGACAAGAAATGTCATTGAATTGGGGGCTAGAGAGATGGTTTGGCAGTTAAGACTGCTTAATGCACTTCCAGAGGACCCAAGTTTGGTTCACAGCACCCATGTCAGGTGGCCTATGACAGTCTGTAACTCCAGCTTTTAGGACTCCAACACAATTTTCTGAACTCCCCAAGCAGCTGCGTTCATGTGCACGTGCGCATGCACACACACACACATACACACACACACACACACACACACACACACACACAGCTTAAAAAAATATTCTAAAAAAAAAAGTCATAGAAAGTCTCACTTTTACCGATTTTTACATGGCTGTTACAAAGCTGTGTATGAGGCTTGCATTCAGTTTTTTGAACAACAGTGTTCTTGTTGTGTATAGAGAGGGTCTCACCTATTTGTGAGATGTGTAGTCTGAGCCACAGAGAACGACGAACAGCTGCACAGATATGAACAGAGAGAAGTAAAACGTCAGTGGCCTCCTCTTGCCACATGATCACCTGAGTAAGCACACTGGACAAACTGAAAGTTGGGCATTTTAAAAGAGACACTCACGTGCTTTGATTTTGATCTTCACCACAGAGTTGCCGCTCATGAATATTTCCTTCCCGAGAGAATCTTCGTTGGTAATATCGGCAACAAATAGCCAAAAACAGAGAAGGGGGTTCGCCTAACATGAAGTTAGAGCTTAGGAATGGAATTTGTGGTGCATATTTTCCACTTCCGCTGTGACTTGGAGGTTTGACTGACTCTGTGTTCACAGGAATCAACAGGTTCCGAGGCCGCTATCTTCACAGCTGGGAGTACAAGCACCCGGGGAGCTTTGAGGGGAAGAGAGTGGTAGTGATCGGCATTGGGAATTCTGGAGCAGATGTGGCAGGCGAGATCAGTAGTGTCGCCGAGCAGGTTTGGTGTCATTCCCTGATTCGGCTCTTGGGTGTAACTTTGATACCCGTAGAGTCTGTGAGTCTAGACTTTCTGTGGCCTTAGCAGTGGTGTTCCCATTTTGGCTCTAAGCTGAGAAGGACAGTTACAAATTCTTCCTCCGGATATACATGAAGGAAATAATAGATGGATAATGATATTTTCTACATAATGAATGAGTTGTGAAAGAGAGCTAACTAGAGCCGATTACCTTGGAATTATCTTACATGTGACTATGCTAGGGAGATAAACATTTAGAAGTGGAAGTTAAATCTACAGCGAACCCCAAGTGTTCCTAGGGACATGATTTTACAGAGAACAGTATGCATGGGCATGAGTAAAGGTACTTGGCTGGTCTATGAATAAGTAGCTAAGCACAGAGCAGCAGGTCCACAGGATCTCACTAAATAAAGATAGAACGAGTAAGGAAAAACAAGCAGCCGAACGCTGCTGCAAATGCTGCTGACTTCTAAAGAGCATGGAAGGTTGCATTCCATCATTCAGAATTAGTCTTTGATATTAACTCAGGGAGTCCACCAAGAACATGTGAGATTTCCAACAGCGGATGCTTTCTGTCCTCACGGCCACGGAGGAGCTGCCAACTCACGACTGAGAAATCTCTCAGACTATGACTTTGCAATACAGTGGTTGTGCCTTCATTTAAAAAGCTGCATCTTTCTTCAGAGTCATAGCTAAATGACTCAAAGATGGCAAGAGAGATAATCCCCACAGGTGTGTTCTGGGTTGTGTGCCCTCATAGTATTTATACGGAATTGTCCGCTTGTAAACGGGAGAACATTCACGGTGTAAATTTTCCCATTTCACTTTTGTTGTTGCTGCGTACTTTGTATTCAGTTATTTCCCCATCATTTGTGGATTATAAACTTACACAGCATTCAGGGAACAAGAGGGTAAACTTGTAACTCCCAATGTAATAACCTATTTGGGATGAAAATCTTCACATTCTAGGACCAAACGCATTCCAGACATCTGGCCTAGCTAGGGGAAAGAAAGGTCCTTGACAAACAGTAAATGAACTGAAAAAGGTGACAGGTTACTGGGCCTGTTCCCAGGCATGCAGGGAGACAAGAAGCAGGCAAGCGGGTGAGGGGATGTGAGCAGTTAATATAATTTCTGATCAGTATGATCAGCAATGAAAGGCTTACCAGGTGACCATTCCTCCGGGACAGGTTTTTCTCAGCACAAGAAGAGGGACCTGGATATGGAACCGAGTTTGGGATAATGGGAATCCCTTGGACACCGCACTCTTCACCCGTTATAACAGAGCCATCCAAAGGTTTTATCCCAAGTTCTTGATCAACAGATGGGCAGAGAATAAACTAAATGCAAGGTTTAACCATGCCAATTACGGACTGCAGGCTAAACACAGGTAAGATCTAGAAAGAAGTTAAGAAAGGCAAATACTTTTACACTACTATGAAGAGGTAGCTCTGCAGTTTGTAACATTTAATGCTTAATTCCCAGAGGATGGGAATTCAGTCCCAAGCACCCACATCTAGAGGCTTACATCTGCCTGTAACTCCAGTCCCAGGGGACCTGATGCCCTCTTGTGGCCTCCAAGGACACTGCCTACACACACACACACACACACACACACACACACAATTTAAAACAAATTATTGTTAAAATCAACAACTATTATGCCAATCGGTGAATGTATATAAAATAGGCACGTGGAATAAGAACTGAAGGGTTCTAGGTCTTACCAGAATTTATGCTATTTGGAAACACTGGCGTCATTTCCCGCCACATCCTGCTGAGGTGTGAAATAATGCGTGAGGAGCACACGTTGGCGCGGCAGCCTTAAGCTCCAGCGCTGGTCTTACTCAACCTGCCCCACTGTGCCACATCTTGCATTACTTACCTCTTCCACTTCCGCTGTCAACAGCTTTCCAGTCGTTCTCTAGATTTAAATTTATGATTCCGTGGTGACCTGCAAGCCCTCTGTCAGCTAAGACAGTCTCATCATCCATATTGCTCACCGCCCCACATACTCGGGCAGCGCAGGCATAGCTGAACTCAGCTGCTCTGCTCTCTACTCGTCTATCAGCCGCTTACACTGCCCACACCCATCACCACCCGAAACCTTACTTCCCAGAGCGACAGTGGTTTCAGATGACATCTGCGGGCCCATTCTCTCATCACAAACTTCTCCCTCCCCACGCACTCCCTGCCAGATCGTCTTTTCATCCCTCACACCCTTCCCTGGTTCTTCTAATTCCACGGATATTCATCTCTCAGTGCTTTACCCCAACCTGACGCTTAAAGCTTAGTGTCATCCATATAGTCCATTCTTGGTTCTCTTCCTATTTCACACTACACAGATTTCTATGTAGAAACCAGGCTTAGTGGGTCAAGGCTGTAGTGGCTCAAGCACAAGGCTTTCCATAAGTACAAACCCACCCTGCACGACACAGTACATTCCAGATCAACCCGAGCTACAGAGCAAGAACCTGTCTTTAACAAACAAACAAACAAACAAAAACCCAGAAGACCAAAAACAGTATATAGAGCTGGAGAGGTGGCTCAGAGGTTAAAATCCCTAGCTGCACTTCAAGAGGACCTGGGCTCAGTTTCCACTAATCACATGGTGGTGTACAGCCCACCTGTAGCTCCCTCTCTAGGGCATCTGCCACCTTCATCTGGCCTCTAAGGGCACCAGGCATACATGTGCTGAACAGATATACATTCAGGCAAAGCAACCACATACATAAAATAAAATGATTTTCTAATTAGCTAAGCAATGTAAAAAGATAATTAAGGCTTAAACATTATGGGTTGGTAAAAACAGGAAATTAGCATGTAGAGCTGTCTGCAGTGGAAAAGCAGAGATTTCCATGACTAGTTTCATGATACTGGGTGTGTAACCATGGCGAAAGAACCTGTCTTTAAAAAACAAACCTGAGGCATACCTGAGATCAGGGCTTTCTGCAAGAAATTTGTAATTTATAATTGCCAAACATTGGTGTGTCACTAAGCACAAATATTTCCCAGGGAAGATTCAGTGTTGGGAGTCATGCAGTTGCAACTTGAAAAATCTTGAAAGAGGCTGATAACCAATTTATGTCAATCTTTTCATGAATCCAAGCACAAATGCCCAAGTCAAACATTGAAAACCTTTAATCCTGGTAAAAAAAAAAAAAATAAAAAAATAAAAAAAAATCCCATCATCTAAACATAATGTTATCATGAGACTTGATTAGTGAGGTCTTAATCGATTCTCATGTCGTTATCTCATGTCATTATTACCACCTTACCAATTTGGAAACTGAAAATAAACTGTTTCATGGCCTGTCCAGAAATTCAATGAGAAAAAGCCCATCTTGAGTCCAAAATCACGTTTTTCCCCAGGAAACACCATCATGTGCCCAGGGAGGGTAGTAAATCATATTAAAATATTGCTGTGGTTTTCTGAGCTCTAACAGCGTCGGCTTCTCTATGAAAACGTTCATTCTCGCCCATGTTTTCACGCTCCCTCACACGCAGGTTTCTCAGCCATCAGTCTATCTTCAGCGACGACCTGCCAAACCGCATCATCACGGGAAGGGTGCTGGTGAAGACCAACGTGAAAGAGTTCACCTCGACATCAGCCATCTTCGAGGATGGCTCTGAGGAGACCATAGATGTCATCGTCTTTGCCACAGGCTATACCTTGTCTTTCCCTTTCTTGGACCACAGCTCTGAGGTCCTGGACGACGAGCACACAATGTTCAAGTTTGTCTTCCCTCCTCAGCTCGAGAAGCCAACTCTAGCCTTCATTGGCATCCTCCAGCCAGTTGGAGCCACCATTCCCACGTCAGAGCTCCAAAGCCGATGGGTGGTACGTGTGTTCACAGGTAGGATGGTCTTCATAGGTAACTGTGCTCCTGACCACATACTCAGATGACAAGGGCACCCAGTGTTCTTGTCTGTCTAATGTCCCCTGTTCTGCTAAGGCCAGAGATGTAATTCAGTGCTAGAGCATTTGCCTGGCATGTCCAAGATTCTTGTTCTGGCTGATCTTTAGTATTAAAAGTGAAAGTCCTCAGCTAACCTGGAGTTCTATTGCTAGAGTACCTACTAGTTCTGGTCTGCTGGGGGGCTACAGTCTGTCTTTCATGGGAGTGCCCCTACAACCTAAGACAGACCTTAGCTGCCCATCCTCTGAGCAATGCGTGAGTTGCTAGTTAAACTTAGTCACAGTGGCAGGCAACTTTGTGGCTTTTTTATTTTAATTTTGCTGTCTTTTAGTGTCTGTGTGTGTGTGCCTGAGTGTATGTATGTGCCCAGGTGCATTCAGGTCCCTACAGAGCCCAAACGCATGTGTGTTTTCAAAAACCCTTGGAGCTGGATTATAGACAGTTGCAAGTGGCCTAATGTGGATGCTGGGAACTGAACCTGGTCTTCTTGAAGAGAAGAAGTGTTCTTAGCTGCTGAGCTGTCTCCCCACCTCCCCCATGGCTTTTACACGCATACTCGGTTTACGTCTACCCCACCATCGCTACGGCACCACGAGCCTGACTCTGTTTTCTCTCCACTGTCCTACCATAAGGAAACCTGCTATTTTGTAAGTTAATTAAAAACTTTTTACAGGGAATGCAAAGGTTTACGGTAATAGGCATGTTAATTAAGCGTAGCTCATTATTACCCCATATATACATGAATCAAAGCCTCATACTGTATTTCACAAATATATGCAAATATTATGTATTGCTCAAACAGCCATGTTAGCATGAGTGTTGAATAGTCATGAGTTTTAAACAGAGATTTAAACTGAAAAACAACTCAAAAAGCTATTTTTCTTGAGCAAAAACTGACGCCCCTTGCGGACAGCCTGAAGCTGACAGGAAGTGATCTTCCGGGAAGTTTTCTATACACGGCTTTGCTTATGTATTCCGTGGAAACCCATGGCTGTGACCATTCCATTTCAAAGCCATCCTTTTTGTCTACTTCTCTTTACCTAGCCCTCTTGACAGTTCTCCACAACCTATCTTGTTTTTTTTCAGGACTGAAAAAGTTACCCTCACAGACTGACATGATGGCGGACATTAACAGAAGGAAATGGAAAATGGAAAAAGAGTAAGGAGCCTGTTTTGGGGCAGTTTGTTGTTGTTGTTGTTGTTAAAGTAAATGAAACCTGACCAGAGGAAACTGCTCAATTTTCTTCTCATATGGTCCATGCCTAACTGTGACTTGATATGATTGCTTTTGTTGAATGACACAAAGGGTGCATGTGTAGAAAAATAATGCCCAGTGACTGGATCATGAGTCCCCACACTAACGGAATCACCCCAGAATGCCTAGTCTACTCAACCAGCAGTCCTCAAACAAACATTAAAACCACAGGAAGCAGTCATTCACTCCCTGTAAGAACTATGTTCAGAAAGAACAGTTAATAAATACCTAAATTCAAAATCTAGGAGAGAGACAAACATTTTAATGGAAGCTGGTAGCTAGATACACAGTTATTTTGATTTGTTTATCAGCTATTCTGGGTTCTTACCTCAAAAGCACCCCTCAAGAAACTTCAAGAGCAGAGATAAGATATTCCTGTAACAATTTCATAACTTTAAGAAATGTGATGATTTTACCATTTGGTTTTCTTTTTCAAGACACTGCCTTTATGATGTATCAGTTCTCCTTTTTCTGATATCGTGATTTTAATTTTTTGCCTTATTACATTATTGATGTCCCCTGTGCCTTTTTTTGTGTTCCCAGCTTTTTCACTTAGCTACATGACTTGTTCACATTTTACAGCATTTTAAAAATGCTAATTAGTGTCTTCTAAATACTCTGAAAGTTTTGGTAGTTTATAAATTGTAATTTCAGCTTTGTTTCTTGTTTACTCAAGAAAAATTTAGCTAGGGGCTTCCAAATTTCTAAGCTCATGGAGCAAGTTACTATTGCCTAAAAGTATCCTGGGACATAATTTGTATCCAGAAATTAATACATGACAAGATATTTTGTGTGGCTTAGAAGCATGAAATAATGCAGTTTATCACGGTTTTTTTTTTTACCCAACTCATGGTTCTGTCTATCACTTTTATATAATGGATCTGGACTCTATGTCTGGAGAAAGCGTACATATAACTTGAAGAATTAATCTAATCATTCATTCAGCAATTTCTATACTGATGCCACTCTACTGGGTCCTTTGGGAAGTGTAAAGTTGTCAATAACACATGACTTATCCTTAAAATATGTAGAAAATCATATGTACGAAATGAAGATGATTTGTGAATAAAAGATAATAAATATGTTACAAAGCAGAAACTAGCCCCCTGGAAACCCAGGGGTGAAGTCTAACACAGGCGTTTGAGTATTCCTTTCTTGTTACAGGTTTGTGAAAAGCCCCAGAGGCACACATCGAGTGCAGTATATTGACTACATGGATGAAATCGCTTCCGAGTTAGGTGTCAAGCCCAACCTGCTCTCTCTCTTCCTCTGGGATACAAAGCTGGCCAAGGAGATTTTCTGGGGACCCTGCACCCCATACCAGTACCGCTTACAGGGGCCAGGGAAATGGGCAGGGGCTCGGGCAGCCATCCTCACTCAGAGAGACCGGATCCTCAAGCCACTGAGAACGCGGGTGCTCAAACACCCTGAGACATCATCCTCTAGCCTGTCTTGGTTCAGATGTATCTGCATTGCCATTTTTCTCTTTGTTCCTGTGTTAGTTATCATGCAAGTGATATACCACTAATCTGTCCCAGACAGAGAGAGGTAAGCGCTAGAGAGAATCAGTTGTTCTTATTTGACACCTGTGCCTCAGCGCTAAGTGAGGATATGGGGAAAGATGTTCATTAGACTCAGTAGGACACATATGAACACTTAATGAAACCAAACTTATTTTATAATGAATCTCCTAAGAGTTTTCTATGTAAGGGGTTTGAAAATGCATAGCTTATTTCTGCTTTATTCCAGAGGTAAAAAGATATAAGTAGAAAAGTTCTTATAAGTAGAATAACTTATAATAATAAGTGGAGTTCAATAAACAAACGATAATACAGCAAAGGTTAAGCCGGGCATAGTGCTCAGAAGTACATTATATGGCCTCAGCACATCTCCCACAGATGAGGAAAATGTCTTTTCAATACAAAAGATGACAGTTAACACTTGAGCTGATCAAACAGCGCTGAAAACTCAAGTCTATCACTTTTCACATGACTATGATGTGATAAGAAGTCCAGCATCATGTGGTCTAACAAAAAAGTGTTTAACTTGAATGTGATCATAAAAACAATCAGGAAATGAAGACAGCAAAACATTTTCAAGATATCTCACTGATCTCTAGAGGAAAGACTGTGTCATCAAGTAATAAAAAAATATAAATCTTGCTGTAATCGTGGAAACTAAGTAGGCATAGAACAAATGCAAGTTTTACATGTGAGTGGACTGTTTTAGGACAACTGGGGAGATCTTGATTGCCCTGTTTTCTATGGTTTCAGTGTATCAATGATCATATTAATGCATGCGAAGATTTTACACAAAGATCCTCGTATGTGGAAGATGGCATGTGCGGAAGAGTTGGCTGTAATGATAATGTCAATTAATTTGTAAAGTCTTTACAGGGGTATGAAGGGAAGTAAGAGGGGAAATATATAGTGATTCTAGGGCTAAGGTTATAAACTGTCACTGTATTATTCCTTCACCTCTTCTGTGATTTTGAGAATTTCAAAATAAAAGGCATACCCATATGATGTGATGTGTGTGATATGCGTGCCTCAGGCAGACCACAAATTCAGCATCCCTGCTTTTATTAGCCAAAACATAAAAAGAAAACCTAGACAAATCAGTGATGAGGTTTATGAGGTGCTGTGCTTAACAAAAATGTCTTAGAGCCATATGTAGCCTAATGGCCACACACAGGTCACACATTGTGGCCTGATTTCCCATCTCACAGCAAACTTAATTATAATCAGGGTTTTTTTAGGCTAGTGGGCCAATGTGAGCAAACTTTTCAAAATATTTTTTTTCAACCAACATAAATTTTAATGAGAGTCTTGGAAAATCCTGGGAATAATGGTACTTACAAGCCTAGGGTTGCTGTTTTTGTTGTATGTCTCTAGATGCCCACAGATTGGGGGGGCCCAGCCCTTTTGAGGGACTGTGAGAGAGACTGGGCAGCTTCTATAAGGGAGGTCATATTGTAGCAAAGATCTGAGACCCAGTAAGCCTCACTCTGGGGACCAGCAGAGTTTCTAGTAAACCTTGTTAAGTCTGCTCCACACAGACAAATGTTTACTTGAACCCCAGAACTGTACATGCTTCAGCAAGGCCAGAAGAGTATTAATGTGAAAAGCAATTTTGGGCAAGGTTTCCATATCCTCAATCATTTCTGAACTTCCTGTTGAGCGCTTAAACTGTGAGATATAGCCCCAACATGATATAACTTATTGTGAAAATTGCAGTGTACAAAAGTGAAAAGTGAAGAAACTTCCATAAAAAAAAAATTAAGTTTGTATCTGGTTTTAGAACAGAAAAACTGCTCCATTTTTTCCCCTAGCAACAACCAACTAACAGGGTCATTTGTCTAGTTAGTCCTCTCAGAGCTCAAAACTTTAAAAATATATTGCCTCTTTAAAAAAAAAAAAAAGGATGTGGTGTCTAAGACAGGATAGGAGTATCCGTTATTCCAGGTTTAAAATACCAGTGTTAAATGTTAGGAAGGCTACATCATGGATCACCGTATGTCCACGTTTCAGTGAAAGCTCCTGCCATTTTTCATTCACTCCCATTAATTTCAATCTATACAAACGTCCAGTGGCTTTTCAAATGAGCACTCTAACCAACTGCCACAGGTATGAAATTCGCTGAATTATGACTTATCATGCAGGCCTGAAATTGCTTCAGAATAACAAAATGCAGCTGTTGGTGGCCTTGGTGTGGTTAACCTCGTAAAAGAAAATTCAGAAAACCTGGCAGCTTATGTCTAAGGCCATTTCCATAGTAAGTGCACCTTGCTATGTATTACACTAACATAAGCTTATCAAGCATATGTTATTTTATTAACATTTATCAGAAATAGCACCTCTACACGATTTTCTGAAAATTCACATAATACGAAACACCCTTTATACACTCTTCAGAAATAGAGGCATTAGTCTAAACCTCCAAGATTGCAGCTGGCCCAGCCAAGGTTTTTGTTTTGTTTTGTTTTGTTTTTGTTTTTGTTTTTTTCCTGTAATAAAAATTATGAGTCTTGTAGCTTTAAAAGTAGTTCCTTATCAAAATGTATACTCTGAAGCTTCAGACTGTTTGTGTGACTTTGTTAAGGGGGGAAAATGGATACTATGTCATGGTGTGCTTGCTACAGTGAATACCAGTGCGAGGCAGTGTGGACTATTCCGGATCTTCAGCTTCCGGATCTTCAGCTGACAGGTTTTCTCACCAATGAGTAGAATCAGAACCCGAGTTTGTTTGAACACTGTAGGTCTTAAGAGTTGAAGAGGCTCTTAAGAACCATTATGGAGCTGGATGTGTTCCTCTTCTGCGATGCGGGCTAACTGTCCCGATGGCCTGTGGTGCTCACTGCACAGGAGCAGCACCGGCCAGCGTCCCAAAGCTTTCACTTCAGAGTCAGCAAGCTCCGCGTTTTGCAGGCTCCGTAAATTTAGACAAGCACCTTCTGTTCTGGAGTTTGTGTTCCTCCTCTCTTCCTCTGCAGAATGGGATTCATGATCTAGGACTTGAAGTCCAGGATCTGTGAGGGGTTAAAACTGCATTTTCGAAATCATTCCCACTCAAAAACTGGCAGTAGACGTTAGCTGTACTTCCCACACTCACCTACGTGTGGCACTATTCATCATCCTGGTGTGAAATCCTCTGGGGTAAACATGATTGTGCATTCATTAAGAAAACCGCCAATACTGAGTCCCCTTTTATTGACTCAGTTCCCCCTCTGCCTCTCTCCATTGGTGGTAGCAGTCTCTTGTGGACAGACCCTGAAGGGGAGCATGACTTAGTCTCTTGTTAATGGCCCAGTTTTTGGCAATCCTCTTGTACTTCAGGCTGCCTTGACACGCTGCTTCCACCTGAAAGGCTAATTCCTTGATGAGCTGAGCCTCAGTGAAAAGTCTCAATGCCAACATGTCTTTCTGTTTTCCCTTGCTGGAGAGTTTTATCTGTGGCCTCTACACAGCTCCTGCTCCAGCCAATGACCTGCCTTCCCACACTCCAGGGAGGCAGTATGTTTCAAGGACCACTGTTGAAGACTCAGTGTAGCAAAAGGACCATGCAGCCTCAAAGACGCAAGTTTGCGGTTGGCGGAGCTTCCAGGCTTCCGGGCCAGGGTAAGAGCTGGAATTCAATTCCAGCATCAAATTCCAAGTGGCACTGGACAAGTTATTAATTTCTCATCTCTCCTAATATAATTCATTTAAATTAAATTCATATTATTCATTTTGATGTCTTATTCATCCAAAAAGTTAATATCTAAATGTTATAGCAAAAAATAAATGCAGTGCGTGGCATATCTTGAAATGTTTTCAGCTACTCTATTTCACACTTCATTGAATAAAGTTTCAATGATACCATCCTTAACTTTTTCTTTACCCTCAATTATCCAAAAATATAAACCATGGGAGGAGCCCAGAAATACATTGCTAAAGCCCATAGGCTCCAAATGCAGAACGACCCCAGTTCAAACCCTAGTTCTACCCCCCATAGTGTTAAGTAACACTGGACAGGTGAGTCACCTGACCAAGGCTCTGTGGTCTCATAGAAGAAAAAGTTCACCAAAGGAACACAGGTAAGAGAATATACACCGTGATGAAGCAGCCGTTAGATAGGCTGCTGCAATGAGAGGCTGAAAAGTCCCACAAAAGCCATCAGCAGGCTGTATAGCCAAGACATCTGCAATGTTCAGTCAAAGAAGCTGGGAGCCTCAGAACATTAAAGCCCTTGGTTGAGGCTGAAGACCTGAAGAACCTGGAGAGCCATCAGGGAAAAGGCTGAAGAACCTGGAGTCTGAAGTCTATGGTAACACATCATCTGCCACAGAAGGTTAAAAGGCAGCATGAGATGCCTTCCCTCTTCTACTGTCCCATTCAATCTAGGCTCCCAGCCCACTGGATGGTGACTCGGAGCGGCTGTCCTGCTCTCAGCTCACTGGTGCACCACCACTGTTCCCTGCAAGCCCCCCACAGGTAAACAAAAGTACGGATGCTGTGCAGTTCTCCAGTCACCCCCTACCCAATCCGGTCTGGGTGACAACCAGAACTGACTTTTACAGTCCTCATCTGTGAGGAGTGAGTCATAAAAGACCTTGCCCCAGAGAACACTTGTAATGAATAAACGAATACAGCATGAGTGGAACCTCTTAGCCCTGTCCTCTGTAAGTGTCGAGTGACGCGACGGCTGTAATTCTCAGTTGCGTTCCAGCCCCCCAGAGAAGTCAGAGATACAAATTAGGTCGTGGTCTTTGACAAAGCAGCATGAACAGAGAGCTAGAAAACAGCTTGATTGGCAGAATCATCCCTCCTCTACACACACCCCCTTTAAAAAAAAAAAAAAAACTCATGTTACTCACTTTCTTGTTTATCCAAACCACTCAGGAAATTCCCAATGACAGCACTGTTAAATGCTTTAACCTCTCCTTGTTCTGTGTTGTTAGGGGCATCACACATGGCACCAGCTGAATGTGAGTGGCTCCTAGTTGGTATCATTCTTTTGCACAGTAATTGTGTCCTGAATATTAAAAGC